GAATAACTAGATGTAAAGTACCATCTTTACATCATCATCATCATCATCAACAGCCCTTTACAGTCCACTGCTGGACTATGAGCCTCCTCCACTATAGTGGAGGGTTTTGCCATAATCTCCACGCTTGGCAGGCGGGTTGGAGATCGCAGTTTAAAAGATTGATGTTTTTCAGAGAGCGCTGCTGCCCATTCTCTGTTTGATGTGTAGTCCCTAAGTCGCCTCTTACGACACCCGCGGGAAGAGTAGGGGTTGGTGACAAATGTATTCTACTCTGCCGTCACCACACGGCACTACACGACATCTTTACATAGTAGACATAATATGTCTTATTATGTTACACTAAGCGTTTTGCTGCATGTAACATGGGCAAGAGCCTACAGCTTTTTATGGGGCAAAATATTATATTCTAAATACCTGTGAGTATTTTTCACGAGTTTGTTTCATGAGGATGATAAATTACAGTTTCATAGCAAGCACTATTAGAAAGTTCCATACAAATACATGTCTCGTTAGAAACTTTATATGTTTTCCATGACGAAAGATTACGCATATCTACATCGAAGTTATACGTCCTTGCTACTTTACAAAGATTCATCTGAAAACAAAATCTCTTCAGATGCGTCAAAAAAGTAATCAGCATCCATTTCAGTACAATTTCAAGATTAGCATCGTCACATTTCTCGTCGAATCATGGCCAGCAAACATTAGCACGTAATTCAGGGCCGCATTCAGGGCAAACAAAACGCGGACAATGTAGGGAACATTAGCGGGCCCTCCGACCGGTGTGTATTGTCGCATTGTGCGGCGCGGGCACGGACTTGGGATGCTGGGCAACAATAAAACAAATAAAATACATTGTGGTTGGTGTGCTTAGAGAATGTACTTTACAATATAAATACACAATACACATCCTCTAAATTATCGCTATCACAACAGCAAAAAACAATGTTTTTGGACGTATGGCACTTTTGTAGAGTTGTACGATATTATGATGTTGAGACTACAGTTTTAAAGCTCAAAATCTTATTTACTAGTGGCAGTAAAAGCTTTTACGTTAGCGTCGGCTATATTCCAAAAGTAAAAGATCGATGCCTGTGAAATGTGGTAAGTTTTTCAATCGTTTTAACCGATTTATTGTTTTAAACTTTCATGGTCACTAACATAATTATTAATATTGACGGGATTGCTACCATGCACCTTAATTTTGAGTTTCCGATAACGGTAGCAATCCTGTCAGTAATAATAATTACGTTTTAACCGATTACTTTTCTAGTTTGTAAGTCTGATTGAGATGCATAATGAACTTAGGTAGTAACACTCTAACGGCTATTTTCGCATGATTTATCGAGGCTTCCGGTGACTGGGACCGCAATTAACTGGGACCGCGGTCCCAGTCGCCGGATGCGTAAAAATTAAATAATTTTCTTCCGGCGACTGGGACCACTCATGGATTTTAGTACTGTACCGATTTTGGATTGAATAATATTTTCTTTAAAGTTATCTATGAGTGGTCCCAGTCGCCGGAAGAAAATTATTTAATTTTTACGCATCCGGCGACTGGGACCGCGGTCCCAGTTAATTGCGGTCCCAGTTGACGGAATCCTCGATTTATCGAGATTTGTAATTAAAAAAAACCTGGTGATCCTTAATCCGCCCCTGCAGCACCCATCGACACCGTCTCGCGGCGCAAATGTGACCAACATTGTGTAGCGCCATTGTCGACTTCTTTTGTGCGGGGGCGGACGATATTATTTTATTTTTATTGGACAGGGCTCTAATAAACAACGCCCTGATTATGTCGCGTAATTTTTCTTCTGCGCCGCCGAGTGAAGGGGCGGCTTTCATCATGACTTTTGGGACAGCTTTGATTCGAGATAAAGCTTCGTGTTTGAATGAGATTCAGGAGACACTGATTTTGTTGCTTAGGAAAGGTAGACTGACGATTTTAATAAAACTAGCAAAGATTAAAAATGATGGTTTTAGACATGTTTCTTGATTTCAGAACACTGGAATATTAGTTAAAAACATAACCCTCCTTCTGGCGCAGTCGGGTAAAAATAAACACTATTTGCTGTGCGAAAAGACCAAATAAATTGTCTCGTTGTAAATTTCTGTGGTAAGAAAAAAAAAACAATAACATCAAAAGTTTGACCTTATCTGCACATAAAAGAGCCTTATGTGTTCATCTAAACATTTCTATAGGTATCTACTTCATATTTACTAACTCCTTAATTTAAGCATAACGCGTGTTCCACATCAAATAAATCCAGTGGTCGCAAACCTTTTCAAAAAATCAACATCACATAGAGTACCTACATCTAAATTCATGCCTGCATCGCGCGAAGAGTGCCATTACTCCGAATTGTACTACGTTTTATTGAACATAACAGTCCGCTGGCAACAGGTGAGCGCGGCTGTAAAAACTTACACCCTGACCCCTTTTCGAGGAGTAGCATCTCGAAGCAAAACAAACTTAAAAATCACTAGGACAAGGTGCAAAACAGAGTGAAAAGGCAACAACAGTTGATTAAATGGAGGAAATTAAATCTGTTGTTTGCAATTTAGTGAGCTCCGCTTGAGGTGTCATTCTAGTCGAGTCTTTAATTAGAATAAGGTGTTTTAATGTCAGTAAATGTCTCCAGTTTCACTCGTTTACAATTCTGTTTGACACATAAAGAAATTAAACTGCCTTCGGAGACTGAGCAGAAATTGAAATATTTCAATATATTGTGCTAGATTAAGTTAAGCGTTAGACCTACATTGAAATTGTTAGTTCTAGCTTATTTATAAATAAAGCTCGCCCAAACCTTAAATCAATTATTTACATCAGAAACTTTAAGTTCCAAAGATACAATTTGTCAAGCATTCCAGCAAAGCCTTACACCCACGCGTGCCATCTAACCACCACCTCCACAACTCGAGCCCGTGACATAGTTTCATCTGGCATTAATTAGAACAGCCGCCGCCATTAAGGCCCGGACCACACTGAAATAATCTTTTTAAAAATTCAAAACGCCACACGTTTCGGTTGAAGGTTGAGCACCCCTGGATTTTGCACCACACGAATTCCAACCCTAATCCAAACTAGCAAGGTCGATTTTCAAGTGGTAGCGTCGTATTTTTTATTTTAAAGTAAACGTTGTGTTAACCGCGATGAAAGTGGTATTGCTAATTAAAAAATGTTAGCGTTTTCTGCCTATTTTCGAGGCTGGGTGTTGCTCGCTTTCTTATTAGGTTAAGGGCTCTTGCGGCACGACCTACGGCTCGGTTAATGAGGATCCAGTTATTTTAACTGTCTATTTCTGAAACATTTCTGAAAATGAGATAACTAGTTTCTAGGAGCATCTAAGGAACGGCAGAAAATTAACAACTTCTCTTATAATTATGTTTCAATACTTAAGTATTTTTTCCTTTAAAATTTAATTTAATTTTGACGCCTACCAATCTAGACTAAGAGCTAGTGAACGCCAGACCTACGTCATTTTATAAAAGCTGAAAGTTTGTCAGCGTATGCTCCCAATATAGGGATCGATGATAGAAGATCTGTTGGTGAATCATGAAGTTTGGGTCATCGTGGCTTTGGCAGCTATCCTAAAAAGACTGTCTGGCAAGGAGTTGGAACTGTCAAAACTGTCTGGCTGATTTTGAAACAACTTTTCTCTCTCTTAGTCTAATCCTTCTGTGTCTGAACTGCACAAATTAATATTATGTAGGTTAAGTACATTTTTACAAAGAAATGCGATATAAATGATATCAATTGATAAACGACCAAGCTACGAGTATTTCACAAATAGATTTTTTTATAACCTTCAAAATTACCTTGGAAATATAACCATTGTAGTTAACCCTTTGCGCGCACAGGCCATTTTTATACCCGGATTATATTTCCACTTGTCCGATAATTGGAAATGGAACTCCGGATATATTTGGCCGGCGTATTAACCGCTCGAATCCGGCTCTGAGTGTTTCGGATCGGATCGTTTGATAGAAATTCTTTACGTTGGCTCTTTTAAACGTGAAGTGATTTAACCGACAAGATGGAGGTTTATAAAAAAATATTTAGAAGTTCATATCAGTTACATGTAATTAGAATATTTATGTTATTCTTAGTTTTCTTCTAAGTACCAAGTTTGATTAACACTTTGTTGGAAAATTATGTAAAATTCTGCATTAGTCAGACTACTTATCTTCTAAAAACTTACCGAAATTGAAGTAGGTAATATGTGCAATCCTTACCTGCAAAAAAGGAAAATAAAATTTAATTATGGTTTATAATAAAAACAAAGAGATCACTAAATACTAATAACTACGAACAATATAAAGAAATGAACAATGTAAGAAAGTCAAACTCGAAGATTCTCATTTTATCACTCGAGATTTTGACAATCGTCACTTACTTTTCCCCATAATCCTAGTCTATAATAACTTACCCTGATTAAGTGGAAAGATCAACATTCGAGGATAGGGCCACCTTCAGCTTAATCTTGAGCTCATCAATCATAGAGGGCAGGGGGGTAGAAAAATGCCATGGAGGGGAGAACCGACACCTGACATCTGGGATTTACGTTTGATTAAAACGTTTAATCAGGTGTAATTTTTTGATGACTTAATTTCGAGGGACAGTGTGATTTTGGTTTGATTTGACACGCGGCGCGAAAAGCGGCGGCGCTAGTGCTGCAGTAAACATCGACTCCGTACTAATTTACTGATTTAAATAGTAAAAACGCGTAATTATATTCTACAACTTACTTCATATCATCCGCACGGTCCAATAATCAAGTGATATCGTTTGTGACTCAAAACTCTAATAACTGTGCGATTAAAATGCCCTTCAAAGTGAACAGTGACTGTGGGACGATTATGTGCGTAAAACTGTGTAAACATTACTAATTTAAAATGGAACCATCTTATAAGTGTAAATAACTGTGCTAAATTACTTAATAAACAACTACANGGCACATCAATAGACACGACCGTCAGAAGACCATTTGAAATTTCTGGAAATTAAATTCCCACTAGCCCATCAAACCCTAATCGGTCGCATGAAACCGCGGTAACAATTGATTTATTTATTAATTTTTATCGTGTCCCGATTCGCGGCTACTTGAAAGTTGAAGGGCTAGAAAAGACCTCACAGAAATTTATTAACACCTAACTATCATGTATATTTCTCCTTCCAAAACCCACAGACTAAATTATGGACTTCATCATTGGAGGCCTAGCAGGTGCTGGTGCCACCGTCATAACGAACCCCATGGACGTGGTCAAGACCCGCATGCAACTGCAAGGGGAGTTGAAGGCACGGGGAGAAGGCCCCTTGCGGTATAAGAGCATCTTCCATGCGCTGTATGTGATCGGGAAGACTGATGGGCTCTTTGCCCTGCAGAGGGGGCTTGCTCCCGCTATGCTGTTGGGGTTCACCATGAACTCTGTTAGGTGAGTTGGTAACTACACTTCTAGAATCCTCACTATACTTTTTGAGCTCTAGCAATCGTGCCGTGGGCCCTCTGCGGTGTAAGGACACCTTCCACGCACTGTGTGTGATCGGGAAGACTTAGGGACTCTTCGCACTTCAAAGGGGGCTCGCTCCCGCTAAACTGCTGGAGTTCACCTTCATGGTCTTCCTCTATTAGCTAAGTTGACTAATATTTTTAAGCCGAATGCTTTCTTACTACCCGCTTTGTTTATATTCATATTCTGCTCTATATCTTTACTCAGTTTCTTCAAGGGGAATAAGTTTTATTCTATGTGTCAAGTAACTCCCTTTTTAAATACATTGGTCGTTACCGACTAAAATCCTTAATCCTGGCCAGATTAGGAGGGTACCACACGACGCAGACGCTCGGCTGGACGAAGGATGCCAGCGGCGAGACGGTGCTGACGAGGGCGATGGCGTGCGCTAGCCTGAGCGGTGCGCTGAGCGGGCTCACCGGCAACCCAGCTTTCGTGCTCAAGACGAGGATACAAGCGTCCGCTCATCCTAGCATCGCGGTTGGAAGGCAGCACAAGTATAACGGTAAATATATGATATTTATAGGATCATAATCTGTGGCTCTTTTGCCACTGATAGCAGCTCGGTATTATCAGCTTATCTAGTCTCCCTTGCAGGAGCCAGAGACAAATGGAGGGTTTGGCGTAAACTCCCCAGGTTGGCCAGATACAGGTTGAGGAGGCCTGATGTTTGCATATTTTTCCCTTAGTCAGCTTTCAGGACGACATCATCCAAAGATATTCTGTAAAAATCCACGAACATTCGTTTGTTAAAAAAATAATGTTTTCTTTTTACCTATTAAGCTTTGGTAGAGTATCAAACCATAATGCATTGCAACCTCTAACTTAAAAGATCGAAAACTCGTATAAAAATTACCTGAATTGTCCAATGACGAGATTACCAGTAACTTTGAAAAATGATGTGCTTTCAAAAAGGGATGTCATCACCAGCATTCCCTTTGCAGGAATGATTGACGGCTGCCGCATCATTTACAGAACGGAAGGCCTGAAGGGCTTCTTCGCCGGTGTCAACGCGACCTGTCTCCGTCTGGCGATCGGCAGCGCTGCCCAGCTGCCGACCTTCACCATGTATGTTCACTTTTACTAGTTTCTTAAGGATTTCAAAATAAATGTGACTCTTCTCTTTATACCAGCATCACACAAACAATGCTGATGATAGAGGCTATAGATAAATACAGAGTGAGGTTTTCCAATGTACCCGATTGTAAATGCAAAAAAAGCGGCGGTAGTGCTGCAGTAAACATCGACTCCGTACTAATTTACTGATTTAAATAGTAAAACGCGTAATTATATTCTACAACTTACTTCATATCATCCGCACGGTCCAATAATCAAGTGATATCGTTTGTGACTCAAAACTCTAATAACTGTGCGATTAAAATGCCCTTCAAAGTGAACAGTGACTGTGGGACGTTTATGTACGTAAAACTGTGTAAACATTACTAATTCATAATGGAACCATCTTATAAGTGTAAATAACAGTGCTAAAATATTTAATAAACAACAATAAGTGACCACAAAACAAGATAAGACTATTATGTACTAAAGACATTGTTTACTTCATACACCGTCAAGAAGAAACCAATAATAAAAAGTGTCGGTATATTTAACAAACCGGTTAACGACGAACTCAAGAACAATCACCACTCCCTCATTCACTTCTACCAAAAATTCGCCCATGTCAAACAAGCGCTTGGTGGCGCAACGGTACTGATCGCACTCTGCACGCAGCGGGACCGTGGTTCAAATCTCAGTACTTCCAAAATATTTTATTTTAGATATTTTGTCATAAGCCAACTTACACACTATGGCAAGTACTTCAAAACAAATGGCTTCAACTGCCAACCAGAAAACTTCTGCGCAAATGGTTCTTTGTTTTAAGTGTAAATCTAACACTAACAAAAAAGACACAATATTGTGTTCTAAATGTAAAAACCACTATGAGTTTGACTGTTTAGGAATGTCAGAGAAATTATATCGATTAATGGACTCGACAAAAAAACAGAATTGGAAATGTCCTTCGTGTATTAAGCTGCTGAATAAAATAATAACAACAAATCCTTCGGAGCAAAATAATATCACCTATAGAAAAAACAAACAACAAAAAATTGCGAAAAAATCTCCTTTAAAGAACAAATTGATGGATACGTCTTCATCGTTACCAGAAATATCTGAAGAAAATTGCGTGATTCCTGACAACACTAGCACTCCAATAGGAAGCGATTTATCTGAAAATTCCTATAATTTAANAAAATCATTATAACAGGAGACTTTAATATTAACACATTAAAAGACACTTCAATTTGTAGGGATTTTTTAGGGTTGCTTCAGAACTATGGTTACATGTCACATATAAAGGAACCTACTAGGCAACTTTCCTGTATTGACTTGATAATCAGCAATATATTTGAAGCTAACAGCAAAGTGCACCATCTTGGACTGTCGGATCACAATACAGCTCAATCGTTGGAAATCCCAATAGATAGCAAATCCAATAGTGCAAAATATTACTTTATTAATAAACGAGATCTCAGCCCAAAAAACATGATTAGACTTAAGCAATGCCTGCAAAGTTTATCCTGGTCTGAGGTTTATAATGAGGTAGATTTGGATAGGGCATTTAATGCTTTCCATGATATCCTTACATTATTTTATAAATTATACGTTCCAATAAAAAGAGTAAAAATAGCTCTAAAACGAAAAAAAAGCCAGTGGATAACGAAAGGTATACGGTTGTCATGTAAAACAAAGCGATTACTAAGATTTACATATTATAAAAATAGACATATCAACGACAAAATCAAATATAAAAAATATACAACCATATTAAAAAAATGTATAAATAACTCGCAAAAAAACTGTAATAAAAAATATATAGGGACATGTACAAATAAATGTAAAGCATCTTGGACTCTAATAAAAAATTCTAGTAATTTGAAATTAAATTATATAAAAAAAATTACACATGACGGCAAAAATATATACGAACCAAATGACATAGCGAACCTTTTTAATGATTATTTTGCAATATTAGGCGATAGGGATAGCACGACAAATGTGCTAAATAATACCCACAACCACGTCCAGTATGTGAATGATACAATTTTTCTATTTCCCACTGACAGTGATGAAATAACTAAAATAATTGCGAATCTCAAAAACAAAAACTCTGTAGGATATGATGAGATCCCTACAAAAGTTCTCAAGGCTACTAAAACTGTAATTGCGCCAGTATTGAGTTACTTAATTAACCTGTCTTTTACACAGGGCATTTTCCCTGAAAAATTAAAAACAACTATTATAAAGCCTATACACAAATCTGGAAACACTGACACATTAGATAATTATAGGCCAATTGCTTTAGTACCTATATTATCAAAAGTTATAGAAAAGGCCATGTTTGCCAGGTTGACAACCTTTATAAACAAACTAAGCATTTTAAATAAAAATCAAAATGGCTTTCAAAAAGGCAAATCAACAGCTCTGGCTACCTTTAAAGTTATCGACAAAATCATGAGCCATGTAGACAAATCAAAAGAAGTTACGGCAATTTTTTTCGACATGAGTAAGGCATTCGATTACGTATCGCATGAACTCCTCTTAGCTAAGTGTGAAAAATATGGCCTTAGAGGTAAAATCTACAATTGGCTAAAAACTTACCTAAGCGAAAGATTACAATACGTAGAGATTAGAAATCTAGATAAATATTTAAATGAAAGGACATATAGATCATATACACAAAATAAGATCACTGGCGTACCGCAGGGTAGTATCCTTGGCCCATTGTTATTCCTATTGTATATTAATGACCTCCCAAAATCCACGCAACATTTTTGTACATTATTTGCTGACGATGTATCGGTGGTGATTCCAAATACATATGACTCATTGACAGAATATAATAACGACATTAACAATACAATTAACGACGTAATCAACTGGATGAAGAATAATAATTTGAAAGTTAATATTAAAAAAACCAAATATATTCAGTTTCATAATCAGAGAAATAATAAAACTTGTAAACTATCAATACAGCATAATGGACAAAACATTGACGAAAGTAATGAAGTAGTCTTCTTGGGGATAACCCTAGATAGTAGGTGCACATGGAAGCCACACATACATACGCTGTGTAATAAGATTAATAAGTTTGCATACGCATTGTGGCGCCTAGTGAACATTACAGATGAAAAAACTGCTTTATTAGCATATCATGGATATGTGGCTTCTATGCTTCGATATGGCATTATATTATGGGGCAATTCAGTAGACTCAGACAGAGCTTTTATTGCTCAAAAGCAATGCATACGCTCCATTTGTAAGCTATCCATTAGGACAAGTTGTAAACCTTATTTTGAAAAATTAAGGCTCTTAACATTACCCTGCATCTATATCTTTGAAATGAGCTGTTTTGTAAAGATGCACCCCTACCTTTTCAGAAGCAATAGTGAAGTAAATACAAATTATCGTGGACGCTATCCAAACAAACTGACACTGCCTGTAATGCTCACATCCTTGCAAAGTGACAACTGCTATCCAATGGCAGTACGAATTTTTAATAAATTGCCAGATGAAATAAAAACACTGCCTATTCGAGCATTTAAGACACGCTTATTTAAATTATTGGTTAGCAAATGTTATTACACAGTGCAGGAATATTTAACAGATAAGTCAATAAGAGTCTTTGAATAATTATATTGATGTTATAAATTATTATTAGATGACATTTGCAATTATGTATGTAATCGTTATTGAATTATGCTTGGTGAATCTTTGACATCGACAATTTCTGAATTTTTGACATTGAGTATCTACTATTGACATTTATATTGACATCTTACATTGATAATATTTTAATGGAATTTGTTGAAATGTTTAATAATTAATTAATTTAATATTTGCATGTCAGAAATGACTAATTGTGAGACCTAACCATTAACTGTATCCATCTCCTGTACCACATTTATAGCAAATAAATGATGATTCTGATTCTGATTCTGATTCACGAAGTAATTTGGAATTGATAAGTATCTAAATTGATCTATTATTTGAGCATTCATGGAAACAATTATTATAAAAGACTTACTAGGTAAAAAAAAATGAGACAGAAAAACGGCAAAGAAGATTATACAGATTGTCCCAAAAAGTAGTGTCAAGCTGAAGCCCAGAGGTAGCATCAGTAGGACTATCCGAATCACCCCCATGTATGCATGCATGTGTGTTCTACGATTTTTGATAGTTTTCGAGTTAAAATTGTTTTTAATTTTTGTGTTTAGGCACTTTTTTAGTTACTGTGGCGCGAATAAATAAGGTACATGTCTAATTTTTGTATTATTATTAGACGAATACTAGGCCTAGCTGATTCAGAAGTATTTACATCCATAACAAGAATGTAAACTAAAAAAGTTGAAAATCCTGTATGTTGTAAAAAAAAGTCATGACTCGAAAACTATCAAAAGTAGCGGTGATTCGGGTAGCCCTAGTGATGCTTTACCTCTGAGATTCGGCTTGACACTTCTTTTTGGGACACCCTGTATATCGTATAAAAGGAATACCCACAAAATAATCCACAATTGACTGCAAAACCGGACAAAATCCTAAACACGTGGAACTAGGTTGTGAAATCCGAATTCCCAAAATTACAGGAATAGGGAACAGTGATCCGTATGCGGTCGCCGGTGGCTCCGGCTCGCCCGGACCGAATTAGCTCCGGTTTAGCAAATTAACCGGATTAGTCCGGTTTGGACCGGTTTTTGGCGGTTTGAATTTCAAATAAATTATCTGATTACTGTACTGCTAATGACGCGTGAAGAGATTTACTTAGGTATTTATTTTTATACGATGTTATGTATTAATAGAGATTTAGTGTTAGTTGGACGAAATATATTATCATAGGTAGCAGGTGTGGTCTGATCACAATAAAAAATTGGTAGATACTACATATAATAAATCAAAAATGTCTGACAGTATGTCTGTTTGTGACTTTAAGGCCGGGTTGCATCCTCTTACTTTAACTTTGACAAACGTCAAAAATCTGTCAAACTCTATACAAAAAACACCGGTTATCGTTAAAGTTACGGTCAAAGTTAGGTGGTGAACTCAGCCTAAGTGATGCGACCGACGGCATGGGATCAAACCAGTAATAAGTTATTCAGAGGCAGATAAATTTAAACCCTGCGCTGCA